CACATGGCTCCGTGTGACCTTTGGCTATTTCTCAAGCTGAAAATGCCGCTAAAAGGAACCCAAATTTAGTCGAGAGAAGACATCATGCGAAATGCGACGGACCGGCTGATAACCATTCCAAAAGATGCGTTCCAGCAGTGTTTCCAGCAATGGCAGGAACGCTGGGAGAAGTGTATACATTACCAAGGAGACTACTTTGAAGGGGATTAGGGTTTTGTACCTCAAAGTCAATAAATTTATTTTTGCTGACCAAAGGTCCGATACTTTTTGAACAGACCTTGTATTCGAATGAAATATTATTTATCTAATTTCAATTTGTAACTTTCGAAAAATACAGAAATGAAAACAATTGGAATTTAAACATTAGATGGTGCCACTTATTATTATTTTTCAGAAAATTAACAATTCATTTACAGAGAAAAAAAAGCAAATGCCCATTCAGATAGAAAAGTCTGATTCAGCCCATTCAGATAGAGAAGTTCTGCCGTTTTCTTCGGTTCCGTCCGAACTGAAAAGTGGAGAAGAAACGACAATAAATAGCTGAAGATTTCTCGGGTAACAGTTCTTTATCTATGGAATGGCCCTAGAGTTTGATTTGTGGAATGTGCTAACAAGTATTAAAAGTGCTTTACGTTTTTTGTTGAATGAAGTTCCTTGACTTATTGTAAACAACCGTAAGTACAACTTTCATTTTTTAGGCATTGTTAAAGCCACAATTTTTAGGAAAAGGCTAGAAATGGTTGTTTTTAAAATTTCAAATTCTTCAATCAAAGTTGTGAAATATGAAAATAAAAAGAAAGGATCTTCGTAAAATACAATATTATATGAATTACTTGTTTTTGAACATAGCAGATAAAATTATTTTAAATATCCTATTAATAATTAATTAATGCATTTCACATGCATATGTATTCCTGTTCAAGAAAATTAACTTAAAAACGTTTTTTTTTCAGATCTTGAACCCAGCTTGAATTTTGTGGATGACGTGTTCAAGAAAGAATTTCTAAAATTATTTAATTTAAAATATATTATTTGTTTTATAAAATAATGTATAACATCATTCTCGTATCTAATTTCAAAACTTTGTTTTCAGATTCACTATTAAACAATAAAGAGAAAAGAGACAAATGAAGAATTTCAGGAAAAAGGATGAGTCGAGGAATGCGTTTAACTTCTGTTTGCAGAAGACTTAATTAAAGGCAGTGATAAGAAATTATACGAGAATATGAAAAAGGAAGAATATGTGTCAAGCAAATGAAGAGAAACAGAAATGAAATGAAGAAGATATTTTAAATAAATTCCAAATATGTTATTTTTTAAATTACTTTTCATATAAGTTGTTTTGAGATAAATGTATAAAGTACATTAATTTGTGATACTATGTGTATACTGCTTGGAAATATTTGCAAATACTGGTGTAAGCAGTTTACGTATGATTTATTTTTTGATGTGGGGTGGTCTAGTTACTTGTAACGTATCAATTTTCGTTTAAAGAATGTTGCTAGAAAGAAAATTATTTTTCTATTTGCACACAAACTTTAACAATACTTTAAAATCAGCGATTAATTTTAGATATTTATATATTCGATTAGCAATGAAGTGAAGAGATTATCGGTTTTAATGCTCTTATCATATTTTACAGGTTTAATCAATCAGAAGTTAAGAAATGGGAAGTATCGATGTGGCAGTTGCGAGAAAGAATTCGTTTCGAAAAATGGGTTAAAATATCATCGAAGGCTTCACACTGGAGAGAAACTCTTTGCCTGTGATCACTGCCAACAACGTTTTCCACTAAAAGGAAACCTGATTCTACATCTTCGAACTCACACGGGGGAGAAACCATTCTCTTGTGACCATTGCAAACGAAGTTTTACACTNACTATTGTGAGAGGTAAGGTTGGTCTTGCAGGTGTGGAGATTAAAGTTGTTCCCGGGACTAAAACAAAATGACGAATTCGGACTTTAACTGTAAACTTTTTGTCTTGCAACAGAAGAATGCCATTGTTCGAGGGTCGAACGTTTACATTAAAGAAGAGATAAGTTTCTATCGATATTTGATTCCTTTTTTCGACAATGTTATTTTAAAGAAGAGGGCAACAAATTTATTGATAATATATCGAAAGTTTAGGTGGAACATGGAAAAGGTTTACACTTACGTCGGATCTCACAAAAACATTTATTTGTTATGAATAAAAAAATCATAAATAAAGAATATGGATAAAAATAACAAAGAAAATAATAATAATAATAATAATAAAGAACACCGAACATCTGTATCACAGAAACGTATATCTACTTCTGCACTTTAACTGTGTATTTAAATAATTTAAAAAATATAATTTCGTACATCAATCTGAATTGACCTAAAATATCACTTTGTTATCCGATTTTATCAGATAGACTTTTAATTTTTAGAAACTGACTCCGATTGTTCGACAGAATAACATTCGAAAAACAAAACTGGATATTCTTTCCTATTCTGTTAATCCGATAACCGAAAATCGATTACAAAACACTCGAGTTTTAGTCAAATACTTTTATTAAGTATAAGGCATTTTCAATCCAGATTTGTCAATTTAATGTAATAATAACAACGAATTAATACAGCAATGTTTATATCCTGCTAATTTATTTTTATGTTAAAATACATAAATGAAAATATATACTAGAAAAGTATTTTTTAGCACACAGAACATCAAGCACGTGGTATTGAACAAGTTAAAAAAATTGTTTATAATTTTTATTGTGTAATATTATAATGTTGATTCATATAAATTTATATTATAATTCTTGATATTTACAACTTATGACTTTTCGTTACTTTTTCAATATTTTAAAATGTTTTTTATTCGCTTTGTAACACTAGTACTTTCATGCATTTTATTTTTATGTTTTACCTATAAATGAAAATGAAAATGTTACATCATATACATACAATTATATTTGTAAAAATTAAATATATAACTAAGGTAGTTTTGCTGTGTTTTAATCGTAAGTTTGCTTTGTTTAAAAATAAATTATTAGATAGAATTTTGTATTTAATCATTTCATTTCGCTTGGTATGTAATTTTACATCAGTTATATTTTTAAAAATTTAACCTATTGTGAACACTTATCTAAATAATAATATTAATCTCCTAATTGAAATAATATAGGGGAGACCGGGGCAACTTCGGCATGCGGGGCAAGTTTGTCAAGCGCTTTTTTTTAAAAACAAATTAAAAGGAGACTTTGGTTATAGGTTAGGCAGTTGAGTTTTATTGGTGGCTTGTTGAGTGTAGTGTTTTTATTGTTCTCCAACAAGCGTAGTTGAATTATCA